TAAACCAAAGAACGAAAGGAAGAAAGAAAAAGAAAATGAAAATAAAAAAAAGCAGCTGACAAAATAAGAAACCAAAAGAGACTTGGAGGAGGCGGAACCAAGATTCAACTGAGAAGGAGCCGAGCCACGAAGCAACAGCAGAACTCAGTACACAGCACAGGGCAGGGCAGGGCATGACCCATGGGCACAGCCTGCAGACCCCCACACCTCACACCAATACTGGGGGACATCGAGTCCCCACAGGGCTCCCAGGACGCCATGTGCCCTGCTGCAGGAGTGGGGCTGCGGGGGCAGCACCGCTGTGCCAAGCCCTGGAGCAGCCCCTTGCCACGTGGGGTTGTGTTCCTGAAGCTGCCACAAATCCTACACCCTGGAAACACCACTGCAACAGAGCCCAGGATACACAGGCCTCGTCCCTGCTTCTGCAGCACTAGCACGCGAGCTGCTGCCGGGCAAGGAGGGCTGTGCAGCTTGGTGCAGCCTGGCACGGCTTTGCTGCCCTGGACCTCACTGAAACGTACAGTGGGGTGATGTGGGGCTGGGAGCATGCAGCAGCCCTGGGCAGTGAGCCGGTCAGTGCACTGCCTTTGAGTGAATCACATCGGTGCTGTGCCTTCACTGCCACACTGCTCCTGGCATTGGGCGCAGCCAAAGGCACCCCAGGGAACTGCACACCCTGCAGGCATGGGATGGGGAGCCACAGGGCAGGGAGCGAGTTCTTCTCCCTGATATGGTCCCTGGCCACGGATAAGTCCTAGTGGGGCAGTGCCAGGTCCCTGGCACCAGTACCCTGCCCCATGTGCAGCCGCTGAGACTGTCCCTGAGCACCATGTTCCTGAACCACCGTAACACCCCACACCATCCCCATGCACAAACACTGCCCACCCAACACTCCTGGGCCGCCGGCACTGACCTCCCTCCCACACACACAGCGAGGGCATTGACTCTTTACATAACTGGGGGCTCTGACCCCCATACAGCAGTGTGCCCACATGGTGGAAACTCACAAAAGGGGCACCAGCCCCACACATCACATCCCTGTGCGGTGGGGACACCAACTTCACATGCACAATGGGGATGCTGCCCTTTGGTTCAGCAGTGGCACCGCACCCCCTGAGCCCCCAGCCCGACAGGAGGGTCCCTAGGGCTGGGCTGCTCCTTGAGACACTGGTTGGGAAGGTAGAGGTGGGGAAGTATTTGCCTGTTCGCTTGCTTATGGCTTCCACGAGGCTGGAGGGGAAGTAGCCCACGCGGTCGTTGCCGGTCCGATTGTCATGGATGCAGCCCTTCCAGCGCCCGTCTGCGTGCTGCTCCAGCACCTATGGGCACGGTGTGGTAAGGGCAGGGCTGTGCCTCCCCACCTGCATTATGTCCCCCCAGCCCTGGGCAACCACACTCACAGTGATGATGTCTCCAGCTTTCACATTGAGGCTGGTCAGGTCGTAGTTGTTGCAATAGTCCTTGACAGCCCGCACCTGCAGTGCAGCTGAGGCGTCTGTGGGAACAGAGGGCAGTGTTGGTGGGTGTCCAGTGCTGAGATCCCCCTGGAGGCTCTCTGATGAAGGTGTCCCACAGTTGATCCCAAGGTGCCCACCGGCTCCCTTACCCCGCAGCATCTGCTTGATCTCCTTGCTGGCCTGGCTGGTGGTGAACTGGTTGACAATGTCCAGAGCTGTCTGGTTGTACGTGTTCCGGACGTGGGCATTAATTCCACTCTGCAATGATACGGGGAGAGCTTGGGATGGCACACAGCTGGTTGAGACCCCCAGGGCCACCCGAAATGGAGGGAGTCATGCTGCCATGGGCACAGCTCACTGCCCTAGGCCCTCCCACCAGGAGGCACCATCCCACTGGGGTCAACCCTGTTCTGCAGTCCTTCCCTGGGACAGCAGTGCCGGGGGGGCCCTTACATCCAGCAAGAGCCGCACCACGTCCGTCTTGCCACACAGGGCTGCCTCGTGCAGTGCTGTGCCTGCCTTGGTCTGCCGGTTGATATCAATGCCAGCTTGCAGCAGGAGTCTGTGGGTGCATGGAGAAGTCAGCAAAGGGTGGGATGGAACTGGTGCCGGCCCGCTCCCTGCACATTAATGCACCCACCTGATGATGTCAATGTGTCCATTCTTGGCTGCAAGGTGCAGAGGGCTGGTGCCATTGGGGTCGGTGGTGTCCCCTGGCTTAGGCTCCAATAGCGCCGCACACATGTTGCTGTTCAGGAGCAGTTGGACCACCTGGATCAGCAAACACAGACGGAGCAGGGCTGCAAAGACGGCTCAGCCGCCCTGAGATGGCCCCCTGAGACCTGGGACAGGGGTGCCCTACCCCTGGTCAGCCCGCGGGACACGAGAGCAGGAGATGCCCCTGCTGTAGTCCCTCCCCACAGCTGCCCCATGCCACCCTACAGGACACTCCACTCCAAGGAACCCACCACCAGCTTCCATATCTGCCTTTCAGGGGGGCCCAACTTGCTAAGACTTACCCCAACCCGGCCAAACTCGCATGCCAAGTCCAGAGGTGTCTTGCCTGAATTGTCCATGATGCAGGGGTTGGACTGGTGCTGCAGGAGCATTTCAGACTGTGGGTGAGAAGGACAGGTACGGTGAGAGCAGGACATGAGCAGGGAGGGCATCAGCCCTACCGTTGTCCCCCGTGCCCCACCACTGTCCATCCCCTCCTGTGCCCCACCACTGGCCCTGCTGTACCACGTCGTAGTGCCCATGCTGTGCCGCCAGGTGCAGGGGGATCTGTCCCTCATCTGATGGGATGTTCACAGAGGAGCCTGCCTTCAGCACCATCTTCATGGGCTCCTTCTTGCCTTGCCAGGCCGCGTAGTGCAAGGGCCGCATGCCTACAGGTGAGCAGGAGGAGCAGCAGTGAGCCCTGCAGGGCACAGTGATGCTCCTGGGCAAAGACTGCAAAGGGGGAAGAGGGTGGGTGGCATGGGACAGGACCCCAGGAGGGATGCAGACCCCATGTCATAGCAAAGGACATCCTTCACTTCCCACCCCGCTGCACTCACAGCCAGGCACAGTGCTCTGCCCTGCATACCAGACCCAGGGTGGCACAGCCGCAGGCACTCGCCTTTGTTATCCTTGATGTCCACCGCAGCCTGTGCCTCCAGCAGCAGCGAGATGAGCTCTGTGTTCCCATTGAGTGCTGCATGGTGCAGGGCTGAGAACCTGGGGAATGGGTGCAGTGTCAGGGGGAGCTCAGGCACTGTCCCCATGGGCTGTCCCCTCCAGCCTGCATCCACTGCAGCACCCAGGGCACCTACTCTGCCTCCTGCCAGCATCCCTATGCACGCCTCTGCACTTTGTGGGCACCAAAAGAAGGAGCTGCCATAGGGACCAGACTCAGCCAATCCATATTATTTTGCTTTATTATCATTATTTAGCATTTAAGATCCCTGGGAGTCCCAGGACTGGAGGCGAGAGGCCCGGCATCGCTGGGGAAGCGGCTGGCACCAGGGAACCCCTCCCCACTGACCCACTTCCCCCAGCCTGGCCCCAGCGGCGCGACCGCGGGCAGCAGCAGGGGGGGCCCAGGCTGCCAGATGGCCACAGTGCCCCTGCCCTGTGCCGGGGGCTGGGGAAAGCCCCTCGTCCCACTGCACCCCACTCCGCTCCCACCCAGCAGGCGCTGACCTACTTGTTTCTGGCAGCAGCATCCTCTGCAAGGCTGCACCCACCGCCCCACTGCTCCGGGCAGCATCCCTGTCCCATTCTCATGGTCACCTTGGCACCAACAAAGCATGGGATCTGCTGACCCATGCCCAAACTGTGGGCAGTGAGTGGCAATCCTGCCACCCCTGCAATCATCACGACCCCCAGCTGCACAGGGTCACATCCTCCTGTCCCTGCTCGGCAGCACGGTATGGCACCATGGCCCCACTGCCTGTGATTCCCCATCCGCACTCCATCGGGCGCTGCGATGAGAGCAGACAGCTCGCTCAGGAGGCCGATCCCCAGCGTCTGCCTGGAAATGTCAGCGTTTTCCGCTCCAGCGCCCTGCTCAAATCGGCTCAAGATGGTGCAAATCACAACACCCCCCCGTTCCCCGCTGCCCCTGGGCTGCCTTGGGGCTTCTTCCGTACACAGTAGGGAGATCTGCAGAGCTGTGCAGGGCCCGATGAGAGCATGGGGTCACCCGAGTATCAGCCTGGGAACCAGCAAATACAGCAGAGATGGGGAAACTGAGGCACAGCACTGGGACAGTTGAACTGCTGCAGGGCTGCTACTGCACACCCTGAGCCCATCAGGAGTTTGCAGGTAGAGTGCAGGCTCTCCCTATACCACCCCAGCCCCCAGCATGCCTTGCATAAAAAGAGGCCATGGGGTGATGCAGCCCCCACCCTGCCCATGCAGCCATGTGCCTTCCCTGGTGCTGCCCAGCATACCCACATACTGCTCAGCACACAGCCACGCTTGCATGCACACACACTCTCAGATGCACATCTGCACGCTGGTGTGCACCCATGCACATAGACACATGCCCAGAGCTGATGCACCAGCAGGAAGTGGGAATGGGTGCTCCCAAAGCACCACCACCATTCAGGGCATGAGAGGCAGAGGCTGGCAGAGCAGGAGCACAGCACACCGGTGTCCTTCAGCCCTCATCTCCACTTCTATGCATGGCTGGTACACACAAAGCCACCTGCACATGTGCGGTCACGCTCATCCGCATTGCACCAGGGAGCCCGGCACACCTGCATGAGATCTCCCAATCACTGCACCCCACAACGTGCAAAGCCCATAGCATACACACTCAATAGCATGCACACCCAGAGTGGGGTCACACTCACCCATCAGTGTCCTGGAAATTGACGTTGACTCTCTTTGCTGATCCAAGGAGCTCTGGGAGAGAGGAAGAGCAGACAGCCCGTTAACCAGGAGGCAGAGGCGGCACAGCTGGGCACGAGGTGTGCTAGGGAAGGTGACACGGCTGCTGGTGGGTTTTGCAACTTCTCCTGTAGGTTTTGCTGGCTACAGCCCAGGCCAGGTGTGGCACGGGGCTGTGTGGGGCTGCCCCAAGCTTGTGGGCCGCTGCAAGCATAAGGATTGAGGTCTGGACAGAAGGGTGGCCATGCATGGCATTTCAGGGCCAGGAAAAAGCTGCTCCTGCAAGCATCAAAATGCCCAAAGCAAATAGCTACACGAGCTTCCCCCTGCTGGAGGCAGAGTGCTGCTCTGCCCACCACCACCTGCTGACAGCCCCACATCTGACATGGGGTTTCCCTCCCATTCCCTTACCCACAGGACCCTGCCATGCCTCAAACCTCGTGGTGCTGCCCTGCCTTCCTCTACCTGCCCCGTGCAGACCCTGCCTGACTCCAACCAAAGGCGTGGGGGAATGGAGTCCCTCGCAGCAATCCAATTAGCGCAGCAAGGAGGGATGGAGTGAGATTTACATGAGATTTATCCACAAACGCCAGTCAGGCTTTTCAGTGAAAGTGCTCTTCCTTGTAACAGAGCAGGAACACAACAGAGCCATGGGGACATGGGACACCTCCAAGCTCAGCTGTGGCACCATTCCCGGGGCCTTTAGGAGGAGGAGCAAGGCTGAAGGCTTGGCTGAGCTGCAGCCCTCCGAGGTGGGGGGCACAGCCCAGGGGAGGAGGAACAGAGACCCCAAACCAGGGGGTGCCCACATCACCCAGCTGCAGCCATCCCTGTGTGCAGTGCAGTGAGCAGGCAGCAGTGCATCCCTGTGCCTTGGGGAAATTATTCACTGAGGGTTGAGGAAGAGCAGATCAGCGGCTGCTCCTCTGCCTGGGAGCACAGCCAGGCAAGGTGCTGCAGCACAGGCACAGCCCTGCAAGGGGCAATATCAGGTGGAGAAAGAGAGAGCACCATGGAAGAGCCGCTGGGTCCTTGCTCATGCTGCAGGCTGCAATACTTATCAGCACCTGAACACAGTATTCAATTATAAGACACAGAGGGCTGTGTCAGCACACCGGGCACAGCGGGATGCTCGCCAGGTGCAGGCAGCAAGCAGCTGCTGCTGGCCCACCGCAGGGTCTGCACGTGCCAGTGGCTCAGAGTGGGGTCCCAGCCCCCCAGAGGCAACCTGCTCTGTCACCAGGGTCTCTTGGCATCCACCAGCACACTTTAAGGGGTGCAGACCTGGGGTTGGAGGGGCTGTACCCCCTTACCTGGAACAGCACTGTGCCCTCAGCTTCTGCCCCATTCAATCACTGCAGCACAGGACAGGTCTCACTGCAACGCAGGTAAAGCCAGTGCTGTGCAGCCAGAACCTCTCCTGGCACATAAAGCCCTGATTGAATTTTAAATCCCAGTCTGTGTGGTGTGCATGCAGATGAGGCACCTGGGGATGGGGATCAGGCTCTGCCATCCCCATCCATAGCCAGCGCTGTGCATGGCACTGACCCACATGGGCCCCACAGCTTCATCCCAGCTAACGGACCCCTTCAAGTAAGTCTCATTCCTGCAGAGGGAGGGATATGCCTGGTGGACAATACCAGGCACTGGGAGAAGTTCCTCTCTGCCCACGCGGATGCTGCCAAGCTCTGTTTGCCCTCGCTCCCTCCTGCGCTCCATCAGCCGCCAGACAGCCCAACAAGCCGTACATTTGCTAACAACAGCGCAGCCTGGGGCCGATGGATGATAGATAAGGAGGATGGCTTCTGAATAGCAACAAATAGCAGCTCCCATCCATCAGGTTCACAGCATCTTCTCCTGGCACGGTGTGACCAGGCGGCTACAGGGTGGGTGGGGGCACCACAGGGTCCCCACAGCATGGGGAGGGCCGGAGGCTCCCAGCACAC